CGCGGACCCGGAACCTGATCGCGCTACTGTAGGTGCGTCATAGATGTATAGAAAATCCGACAGCGTGACAGACGTTCCGCACATCCGTTTCATCCCGACGATGCTCGTTGCAACTGCGTCAAGCTCCGCGCCTTCCGCAATTGTGATACGGATTGGCTTCTTCTGGTCCCTCATGGGCACAAACTTTTCCCTGACGGTAGTCATCTGAGAGCTTGCGCAAGAGTCAACGACTCTATTCCGATTTTGACGTCGATATTGATAGACGTAGAGGGGATGCCGAAGAACGTCGGTGTATTGGGTGTGGGGTTTGACTGATAGTGACAGTGACCAGTTGGAACAAGAAAGGCTACGCCTAAATCTCGTATTTGGTGCTGACGATGATCTGGTGAGTGAGACCGAGAGCTACGCCTTGCACATTAAAGCTGTAAAACCGACGTATGTCTCGGTTGGCGTCTATGCCTCGATGGAGAATACTAAAATGGCTAAAGAGCAGCTGTATAAATTTTAGTACGCGTACAAGACCAGGTATATTCCAAACAATGTAACGGTTTTTGCATTCAGGTACAGGTCTCACGAGCAGTGTCCATATCGACTAAAGATTTCACAGCAGGAGGTATGCTCTGGTTCATCTCAGTATGAGTTGTAGAATGGACTTCAGTATTGGTTTACTTTGACTAGAAAAGTGTTCTCACTTAACCCAAACCCTACCCAATTTCTCAGAACGAGTTTACTTAGACCAGGGTCTTACAAACTCTCTACGCTGACGCAATAACTCCAATGGACAGCTGCCCACGATGTAAATTCCCGGGTGGATATCGTGTCGAGTATCGCTTTGAACCCATTTGCGCACTTAGCTGCGTTGTGCCCGATCTGCTTTGCCGTATCGACCGCACGTGTATTTCTTTCCCTTTTTCTTTTCCTCGAATTTCTCCGGTGAAGTGCTCCCGTATTTTGGCTACTGCGGTGACTCTTTCAACGAGTTGAGGCCTTGGGCTCTTCTGGTTTCGCCCCGATATGATACGTTTGGCATGGAATTCGTTTCTCGCAAAATATCACGTCGCGCTTCTGGCTTCTTACTCTCCCTCCAGCTTGGTTGTACAGCGGAGGTTGCTGGATGTTGGGTTCCTGCAAAAGAGCTTGAAGGAACCGAAATTGGATCGATGCTTCCATAAAAGCTTGGATGTATGCTTCCACAGTGTATGCAGGGTGATAAAATTGGAAAGGTCCAAAAGTGGATGTGCGGTCACCGCTCTGGCTGTTTAGTGTGGCAATTATGTGTCGACACCGAAGCAGCAGTTGGTGTCGATCAGGACAGCGCG